CCACCTGCACTAATCCGGATCCAATTAATTATCTAATTAATTAATTAATTAATTAATAAAAAATTTCACATTGAGAGAATTCAGCTGCCTTGGCGGAGGTCTGTGCTTTCCGAGTGCTCTAGTTTATTATATGTTTAGTGTGCATAACATAGTGAGATTTGGTGCATGGTTTGCTCACCATGATATATGTTGTTTATGCAGGATCCCAGCATGAGAGCATGGATGACATCTATACAGAGGACTGGAATGAACAAGGACAAGGTAATGACAATGAAATGCCTATGTTGACATTATTCTCTTATTATTGCATTGCCATCATAATTAATGTTTATTTATATTCCACTGATAGTTTATTTGTAAGGTTTAACAATTTCCAGCATATTTGCCATGAATTTATATATCGTTAACCTTGCACCCTGCTTATCCTACAATAATCTCTATAGTAAATACAATCGTTATTGTATATTTTTTAGCAATTGTTATGTACAATATACAGTCGTTTTTGCATATTCTCTAATAACCCTTATTGTAAATACAGTCATGAATGTGTATTTTTCGCAAAACCAGAGTCCATATAAAAGTAGTAACATAAGTCATATAATTCTACAGTTTGAACCTCGTACCTTCTTACTTCTTTCTTCTTCCGTCTTCTTCTTAGTCCATTAAATTCTCTCCTCGTGGAGAATAGGGCTGGAAATCAGATTTCTCTATGACGTTCTATCTTTGGCAGCTCTTTCGGCCTCGTTCCATGTTTTAAACCTTAATGTAATCCTTTCTTTCTTGCATAAACGAAATTGCATGATGTTACGTAGTCAGTATATTGGAAAATCTGTCAGCATGAATCAATTTACTGTTGGACACATTCATATATCTCTATATGACATGACCAGCACGATGTAAGCATCAGCTTTAGTGGCACCAGGACTTCCCGGAACTAACATGCTGCAATTACTTCGGTAGCCATTTCATTTCGCCATTTAGGATTAGGAGTAGCTACAGTTATGCAAGCACAACCACACAGACGCGTAGGCACAACCATGGCCACACATAGGCGCGCGTGCAATAGGGCTAACGCTTCATTTGGCGTGCCCAAGCTTTAATAATAGGCGCGTTCACACTGGCGCGAATAAGCGGGATGCAAATCCCGGTTTTTGCATCGCGATTGAAATACCGAGATTATTACAAGTGTGAACGCAATAATACCCACTAATAATCGCGATCAGCATCGCGCTCCAAATCGCACTTTTGACTGCGATTATTTGGAATTAGCGCGATTATTTGCGTGTGTGAACGCTCGCTTTGGAATTAGCGCGATTATTTGCGTGTGTGAACGCTCGCTTTGGAATTAGCGCGATTATTTGCGTGTGTGAACGCTCGCGCAATAATCCCGGTATTTTCTATCCCATCATTCCAAGCGAGTGAGCAGTGAGCATGCGCAGTGAGCATCATTCCGGCAGTGAGCATGCGCAGTTCGATTAATAGAATTATCCCGCTCGGCGATTAGCGCGATTATTCGCCTGTGTGAACAACGACACAATTATCTCGGTATTTCATCGCGATTAGCATCGCGGTTTTTCTTGTGTGTGAACGCGCCTATTGATACTTCTCATCGTCTCACGAATACACAATGAACGTCAAAAACAAAAACAAAGAAAAAAGAAAAAATTATACATAGGTCTATAGCATAGAAGATAACAATTGCATAATAAAAACGAAGGTTCCAAATGGAGCAACACCCCCCACACTCGCTTCAACGCTTGGCAAATCCCCCTACATTGCATCGAACACCCACCCACTAATCCCACCTACTGCAGCAAAAGCCTAGTTAACCGTTCCAACGAGGGTATAATTCGCACGTAATACTCAGGGAAGCCGCGTCAACTAGCTAGCCCCTAAAGTGGTTCTAGTCGCTCATTAGTGAGACCGACAACCGCGAGCAGCGGTAGAGGAGATTATACGCACAGCAGCAACGAGAGCGGTGCGTACACTCATCTACCTCTATATATATAAGATAACTACAGTCATGAATGTGTATTTTTCGCAAAACCAGAGTCCATATAAAAGTAGTAACTGACGTCATGTAATTCTACAGTTTGAACCTCGTACCTTCTTACTTCTTTCTTCTTCTGTCTTCTTCTTAGTTCCTTCTCTCCTCGTGGAGAATAGGGCTGGAAATCAAATTTCTCTATGACGTTCTATCTTTGGCAGCTCTTTCGGCCTCGTTCCATGTTTTAAACCCTAATGTAATCCTTCTTTCTCCACTGTTCTTCGCCATGTTTCCCTTAGTCTTCCCCTACGGGGCCCACCCATGTCAGTGCAATGCATGGGTTTTCGTCTTTCTTCATTCTGATGACATGGCCTTCTTCTTCTTCTTCTTCTTCTTCTTCTTCTTCTTCTTCTTCATCTTCTTCTTTTTATTAACATGAACTTTTTTTTAAAACCCGTTTGCTTACAGCGTAAAGAATCTGTTCAGGAGATGTCTGGTAACGACTGGGACGTTGGTGAACAGATGTTCTTGGTGTGTGTGTACAACGTGTCGCGGGACCAGCCATACACCATCCTCAAGTCCGCCGTCTCTAACACAGTGCATGACATCATCACTCAGGTACGCTAGAACCATGTCTGATATATTTTCTCGATCATCTAATATATTCTATTTATGTTATTACAAGTTATATATGTGTAATTCACGGATGTTTGCAGATGTAGTTGTATGTGGCTACCATTGTCTTCGTAAAGCATAACCCTTCACCAATTTATACTTAATATGATAAAATTCGACTTTTCTATTCAATCTTCAAAGATAAAACCAATAGATCCAGGTAGCCGCATCTATTCTGGAAGTCTGATAAATTAGTCGTTTTGAATTAGCCAGGCCATTAATTTAGTGAAAATATGTTCACCAATTCTAATCACTGCTCCTGCACCATATGATCCGCATAACATACTCGCAATCTTTCAGGCGATGGCCAAGGCACGGCGGCCCGGTACTCCAGGAGACTTCACTCTAATGGAGGAGCAAGCGGTGGATCAGCCACCAGGTGTCACCAGCGTTGAGAAGGTGACTCAGCGAATCATGTGCGACGCGGAGAACGTGTTTCACGCGCAGAGCGAGTGGCGCTCCTCCGGAAAGTTCATCCTCATGGAGAAGGACCAGGTAAGGCAATATGAGCTGTAAAGTAGATCGTTATAGATCACAGGTGTGTGCGCGTGTGTGTGTGTGTGTGTGTGTGTGTGTGTGTGTGTGTGTGTGTGTGTGTGTGTGTGTGTGTGTGTGTGTGTGTGTGTGTGTGTGTGTGCTTGTGTGTATGCGCGCACATGTGTGACTGTGTGCCTGCGTGCATGCATGCATGCGTGTGCGTGCATGTGTCCCGGTGTGCCTGCATGCATGCGTGCGTGTGCGTGCATGTGTCAGTGGCGTAGACAGGTCCTCAGTTGTGGGGGGGATGATTTCGCTGTTACTTCCATCGCAATGTATATGAAGAGTGTGCGCGAGTAGCTCACACCGCGAGCGCCTTGGTGCAAAGCCCTTAATGGGTGGGGTCCAGGGGACGGAGCTCCCGGAAGATCTAGGATTTTAGCAATTTAGAACCTTCAAGATTGCCGTTTTTGAGGGAATTGAAAAAAATTGATATTGTAATTTCAATTTTGTGAATTCTAGGGTAATTTTTTTCTTTGGATCCCAGAGGTTTAATAACACGCCCCCCCCCCCACACACAACCAGTGGCGGATCCAGAAGAAAATTCTAGGGG